AAGAGAAAGAGAGAGAGCGAACGAGCGAGCGAGAGAGAGAGAGAGAGAGAGAGAGAGAGAGAGAGAGAGAGAGAGAGAGAGAGAGAGAGACCGGCCACCCAGGCTGAGAGCATAAAGGAGCATAAAAGACTCCCTTTTTGAAAACGAGCTTTGAGGCAGCATAACCTTTATATGTGCACCAGGGGGGGGGGAGGGTAAGGGAGCGGGGGTAACTGTGTGTTATAAGATTTCTATTCAACCAAAAAAGTGAAAGAAGAAGAAGAAGAAGAAGAAAAAAAAAGTTTCCTTAACCTATATAGGAAGCCCCCAAACTTTTTTATATTTCATTTTTCAAAAGAAGGTTTTACTTTATAGGAATTCAATAAGGGTTATAATGCCGCCACACATAACGTCTTCTCCTTATGCCAGAGCATAGTAACTTCCGGAGAGTCCTTCTAGGGCAGGTGCTTCCCTTCCCTCCATCCCTCCCCTCCTCTTTCCTTCCCTCCTCTCCCCCTCCCTCCTCTTCCCCTCCCTTCTCTTCCTTTCCCTCCTCTTCCCCCTCCCCTCCTATTCCCTCCTCTTCCCTTCCGTCCATCCCTCCCCTCCCCTCCTATTCCCTCCTCTTCCCCTCCCCTCCTATTCCCTCCTCTTCCCCCTCCCTCCCCCTCCCCTCCTCTTCCCTTCCGTCCATCCCTCCCCTCCTCTTTCCTTCCTTCCTCTTCCCCTCCCTCCATCCCTTCCCTCCTCTTCCCCTCCCCCTCCTCTTCCCCTTCTCTTCCTTTCCCTCCAACCCTTCCCTCCTCTTCCCCTCCCCTCCTATTCCCTCCTCTTCCCTTCCCTCCATCCCTCCTCTCCTCTTCACTTCCCTCCTCCCCCCCTCCCTCCATCCCTCCCCTCCTCTTTCCCTCCTTCCATCCCCTCCCTTCATCCCTTCCCTCTTCTCCCCCTCCTCTATCCCTCCCCTTCTCTCCCCCTCCCTCCATCCCTCCCCTCCTCTTCCCCTCCCCTCCCCTCATCTTCACTCCTCTTCCCTCCCCTCCCCTCCTATTCCCTCCTCTTCCCCTCCCCTCCTCTTCCCCTCCCCATCGCATCCAACCCTTCCCTCCTCTTCCCCTCCCCTCCTCTCCCCCTCCATCCCTCCCCTCCTATTCCCTCCTCTTCCCCTCCCCATCGCATCCAACCCTTCCCTCCTCTTCCCCTCCCCTCCTCTCCCCCTCCATCCCTCCCCTCCTATTCCCTCCTCTTCCCCTCCCCATCGCATCCAACCCTTCCCCCTGTCCTTGGCAATCGCTCCCCATCGTATCCTCCTTGTTTTTCCCTTCCCTTCCTCTTCGCTTTCTATCTCCTTAGCCTCCTATCCTTCTATTTCCTTCTCCTCCCTTTCTTTATCCTTCCCTTCCTATCGCTTCCTCCCGCACGCCCTTTCTTTTATCTCCCTATTGCGGTCTCTCCTTCCTTTCCCCTCCCTATTCTCTCCTTCCTTTCCCCTCCCTATTCTCTCCTTCCTTTCCCCTCCCTATTCTCTCCTTCCTTTCCCTTCCCTATTCCCCTTCCATTCCCCTCCCTCCATGTTTCCCTTACCCACCCTTCCCTATTTCCCCTAACCATTTTGCCCTACCATCTCCCTCCCTTCTAAATTTCCCCTGCCCATCACGACCTTCCATCTCCCTCCCTTCCCTATTTCCCCTCCCCCCCCCACTTCGTCCTACAACTCCCCTCCCTTCCTTTCCCTTCCCCCTCCCCCCCCCTCCCCCTGCTCCTCGGCCCGTCCTCTCCATTGGTCATTTCCATAAGCTGTTTCTGACGGCGCGGTCCTTCTAATATGAACTTCACGTGCCTCTCTTTCTGTTGGTTTATACTCTCTCTCTCTCTCTCTCTCTCTCTCTCTCTCTCTCTCTCTCTCTCTCTCTCTCTTCTCTCTCTCTCTCTCCCTCTCTCTCTCCTCTTTCTCTCTCTCTCCCTCTTTCTCTCTCTCTCTCCCTCTTTCTCTCTCTCTCCCTCTTTCTCTCTCTCTCCCTCTCTCCCTCTTTCTCTCCCTCTCTCCCTCTCTCTCTCTCTCTCCCTCTCTCTCTCTCTCTCCCTCTCTCCCTCTTTCTCTCTCTCTCCCTCTCTCTCCCTCTTTCTCTCACTCTCTGTGATAATTATTATAAAAATAATAACAATAATAATAATAATAATAATAAAAAAACTAATAACAATAACAATAATAATAATAAAAAAATACTAATAACAATGACAATAATAATAATAATAATAAAATACTAATAACAATAACACTAAGAAGAATAAAAACAATGACAATAATAATGCCACATGAATTATTCTTAACGATACTCACCCATTCCCCCCCCCACGGCTGCTCGTGACTCAGACACTCATCCCGGTCACTCGTCAACTTCAACCCCGTCTTCCTTTACCCAATCGAATCTCATTTTTTTGCCACAACCAATCTGCCATTGATCAATCAGCCTGAACTACAGATGCCTTCGTATAACTAGTTTCAAATCGTTCACTTGGG